ACTTGCTGTTGGAGTAGCCCTGCTGAAGGCTTGGTCAGTGTGGGGGTGGAAAGCGCCATCAAGTCGCAGCTGACCCCTCATGGGGTTTTCAAGGCAAGGGATGTTCAGAGGTGGTTTGCCCTTGCCTGCCTCTGTGTAGCAACCCTGGAATTCCTTGGTGGTCTCCCATCCAAGTACTAACCAGGGCCGACCCTGCTTAGCTTCTATGTTCGACAAGATTGGGCTACTGTAGGCTATCCAGGTCAGGGCTTGGTCAGTGTAAATTCCCATTAATAGGTTCTTTTGACATATCCTAGAAGTATACCTTGAAAGAGCATGTAATGAAGTTGGAACTGACTCATGACAGCCCCAAGGACTGTGGCGTATTCAATGCAAGAGGCAAGCCTTCCCCTGCATAGTAACCCCAGTCTTTTCTTGGTGGTCCCCCACCCAAGTACTGACCATGGCCAATTCTGCTTAGCTCCCAAGTCCTGATGAGCTTGGGCTAAGAAAACAATGTGCTACGTGCAAAATGTTATGCTAGAGCTCAAAAGAAATGTGTTGGCATTAAAATACAGACTAAGTGCTGCTAAGCCATAATAGATGACATAAATAAATAAATGCATGGAGTAGTTGGTGCGAGAGGCTAGCATAGGTGCAGAGCAGGTGTTTTGCGCATGGGAGTCTCTGGCACCTGCAGGGGAGGTTCTCTTGGGCTATGCATCCCAGTTGCTGTAATCGTTTGGCTCAGTTTAAAGCAGATTCCAATACTCCTGTGTGCAGGTGTTACTTCCGTAGTGGAGTTCTTCTGTACATAAGAGAATGTGTGGAATCTTTCAGATTAATTTTGTTTCTTTTTCAAAATATATCTGGCGCTGTGCCTCTCTGTTCTGAATCCAAGCTCTGCTCCAGATGACTGAGTTAGATAATACAAATTAGTCGTGGACTAATATAATTAGACTTCTGTCTCACCAATGCATAAATACAGTCTGCTCCTTTGAACTAATTCGGCTGGTGTATAGTAAATATTTTTAGTAACAAAAAAAGGTCTTCAAATATTTTTATAGAAGTAGTGTTGTTGGAAACTTGTTCAGCAGACAGAATCCTACCCTCCCTCTTTCCCCCCCTCTTTCCCCCCTCCCAAAATAAAATATGGATCTTTTCCCCCAGCGGTCTCATGGATGGCTTAGTCTGCAATATGTGCTTGGACTTAACCTGTTCTGAAGCAGCACAAAAGTGCACAGATGGTAGCACTGCTCTCTCTAATTATTTACCAACCTAGGCATTGGATTTCTGTTAATGGAGGACATACCGTTTAGGGTCATGTGGTGTTGCCTTTCTTTCCTTTACGTTTCTCCTCTCTCTCTTTATTGAACTTAGGTGCATCAAGAAAGTGTGCATATGATTGAAGTCACAAGCAGCTTGATCAATGAAACCGTAGCCAATCACCCCGAATGGGCCAAGTAAGAATACTGCAGTAAGGGGACAGAATTCAAAAGGACAGTCCTGTGAATCCTATACCCAGTTGTGTATGACGTTTCTCTTAAGACTTGAAAACAGGTGGCTGCAAATATGCTCAGCAGTGGCAAGTTGTGCTTTTTTAAACCTGGCAAGTGCTTCTGTTCTGGATGCTGAGGGAGACATGAGCGTAGGCTTGTTGGTGAAGTCGGTCTTTACTTGCTTATGAACAGAATGCCAGAATTTTATTGTGTATACAGCCAAAGGCCATCACAATACAGAATCAGGATAATAAAAGGAAAATAATTCTGATCATACACAGGTAAAACAGCGATTAAAAAGAATTTTCGCACCAATAAATATGGACCAGTTATAAACAGTAAAATGGTAAGATAATAAATCCAGTTAGTTATTTAAAAAGGTCATAAAAAGGTTAATTTTCTGAAGCTGCAGTCTTAGCCTTGATTTTTTTGGTGGCGAAGGCGAAAAGAGACACTTTATTACTGACAAACGGATCAGTGTCAAATAATAGAAAAACTAGCTTGTCAGTGACAGAGGAACATTTTTGTCCTGTTAGCAGATATAAAGAAATTTAGATCTAACTGCTGTATACATAGGACAAAATAGTATATAGTGGAGAATGTCCTCTGGGACTGAGGCACTGCATGTACAAGAACGTAAGGTGAGCGGTATTTGAGAGTATCTCCCCGTGAGTAGAGCTGTCAACATTGTCTGAAAACGTAAGGAAGTAAGTGCCTTTCTGAGATTTTGAGCTGTAATATTCACTAGGTAAGGAGATCTATCGTGAGACTGTAAAAATTGTCCAATAAAACGTCACATTTATAGATCCAGTTTCGTAAGTTGGTGCACTATTGAGAGCCCCCAACAAATCGTCTGGAATAGAATAGTAGGCAAGTATGTTGTTGTAACATGTAGACCAGGATGTATCTCTATGTGACATTAGTTGAAAGCACTGTTTGCTAAATATGTTGGTAAAGGCAGTATTACCTTTATTCCAGGATTTGAGTAAAGCAAGGTGGACGCGAGCCCTAACTGAGGGCATACCAAGTTCTGCCCTCATTAGGGCTGCAGGATTCCCCTTGGGCAAGGCAAGGAGTCGTCTGATGAATAAGTTTTGAATTGATTCCAGGCTGGAGATTATGTAGTCCTTCCAGCCCCAGACCTCTACGCCATAAAGAAGATGGGAGATTGACTTATGAGTAAATAATTTTACTGCTGGATCTACAAGGGATCCACCTTTGGTGTGATAAAATCTCAGAATTGCACCTATTGTGTTTTTTTTGTAGAAGCTTTAACAGTATACAAATGTATTTTCCAATTTAAGGTCATAAGAACATAAGAGACGCCAATGTTGGATCAGGCCAAAGGCCCATCCAGTCCAACACTCTGTGTCACACAGTGGCCAGAAATACCAGGTGCCATCAGGAGGTCCACCAGTGGGGCCAGGACATTAGAAGCCCTCCCACTGTTGACCCCCCCCAAGCACCAAGAAGACAGAGCATCACTTGCCCCAGAGCCCCTATCTATACATTGTGGCTAATAGCCACTGATGGACCTTTAATTCACTCATCTACTGATGGGCCTCTGCTATCTTTTGATCTGGTGGGCGATAACAAACTCCCAGTGTTAAGTTTTCTTTTGGTCCCCCTATTTCAACCCATAGAACTTCCAGAAGCGAATCCAATTCTCTTAGCCTCTCAATATTTCTGGACTTTATACCCTCTCTGCCATACAGAGCCACCCCACCTCCAACCCTTCCCCCCCCATCTTTCCAATATAATATATAACTTGGAATCACCGTATCCCACTGATTTTCCTCATCCCACCAAGTTTCTGAAATACCCACAATGTCTATTTTTCCCTCCAACACCAAGCACTCCAGCTCCCCGATTTCACCTCGGACACTTCTAGCATTTGTATAGAAACAGCTGTAATTTCCCATACAAGTTAGGCCTGCAACCTTCCTCTTGCTATCTCGAGACCTTGTCAGGCAGTTCATGTCACTAGCCATGGTCTCAGTGGACAATTTCAATCCATCTCCCTGTAGAAAAGCAACAGGTACTCCCTTATCTATCTGAGATGAGCCAACCCGAACCAGAGACTTTTCATCTCCTGTCGGCTTTCCCCCAATATTCAGTTTAAAAACTGCTCTGCCACCTTTTTTGATTTTAAGCGCCAGCAGCCTGGTTCCTTCTCGGGACAAGTGGAGACCGTCTCACTTGTACAGCTTCCTTTTGTTCCAAAAAGCATCCCAGTGCCTAACAAACTTGAAACCTTCCCCCCTACACCAT